TTCCCGCCAGAAGATGTTCCTCTCCACTGCACTTCGCCTGTCGCTGCTGGTGGCCGCCTTTGCCGGCTCCCTCGGCTGGCTGCTCTTTCTCGTCAAAGTCGCCGCTCCTCCTCCTGCTGCTGCTGCTGCAAATGATCGGTAAGTGTATTCGCCTACAAAGGAACCTGCTTCCGTTTGCATTTTCCCTTTCCCTTTCCCTTTCTCTCCTTTTTATCACGTTTGTGCCGCTGTGTAAATGTGTCTGATCCAATTTGCCAATGAGGTGTTCCAGCGGCGGCGACGGCAGCAGCAGCAGCAGCAGCATCGCTCCCAAGTGACCTCTTTTCTTCGATGATGGTTCCACTGCCGTTGCTCACTCGGACATTTGCTGCTGCTGCTGCTGCTGCAACTGTTCAGTAGCGAAAATCCAAAGGAGAAGGGGACTTCTCGAACCGTTCTGCCAACACTTCTCTTCCTGCTCACTTTTTCTCCGGTGCTGTGTGTAAATGCTGTAATGCTACTGCCGTCATCGGAGAGATTTATTGTCACTCCGATTGTTTTCTCCTCGGCTTCGATTTATCATCGTTGCAGTCTCTCCCTTTCTGCTTCTGTTTCTGCTTGCCAGTCGCCGTCGTCGCCGCCGCCGCTTGTGAGCTCGAGATGTATTTGAATTTGGGAATTTCAGGGAAAAGGGAGGAAAGGGAAAGAAGAAAGAATGAGAGTCCACCTGGGAGAAGTCAAATGAAATGGCAGTGCTGCTGCTGCTGCTGAGGCTGCTGCTGCTGTTGCTGCCTCTGCAATTGCTGCAAGTACTACAAGTATTAATAATATTCAGGCCAGTCTAGGCCTGAGCCTTTTTCAGCTGCCCAAACCGAACCGAGCCGAGAAACACAGCGAAAACACGAGCGAGAATATTTGTCATCGGTTGTTTGGGCTGCCTGCTTGGCCTGCCTGGCTGGCTCAGTCGCCTGGAACGGGCCACCATTCATCATAGCTGCTGAGGGGAGGGAGGAAGATGCGAAGTGAAGGTGTGTGTGTGTGTGTGTGTGTTTGTGGGATGCTACCAGAGAAGGAAAAGAGAAGAGAAGAGAACTCGAGCCTATTTTTAGTTTTTCTACTTCTGTAGAATCACTTTCTCCAATTCTATCTGATTACTGATTCTCTTTTTGTACTAGAAGCACCAGCAAGCCTCGAGGTTAGACGGGGGTGGAAAAAACGGGTGTCCCCTTTTCACTTCCTTTAGGGATTTGTTGGTGCTGCTGCTGTGATGGAGTAGTGTTGTTTTGTTTTGCTTTTTTGCTTTTGTTTTGTCGTCGTTCTCCTCGGCTTCAGCCTCAGCTTCTCACTGTCGCCTGTCGGATCAAGTGAAGATCAAGTGTGTGTGTGTGTGTGTGTGTGTGTGTGTGTGTGTGTGTGATTCGAGCTGAGGAGAAGATGATGGATTGCACTGTGTGGTTCAAAAGTACAGAGAAAAAGAAGAAGAAGAAGAAGAAGTGCTCCCCACACTTAGATCACTCTTCCGATTGTCTTCTTTCTTTAGGTGCGGAGGAGGAGGTTTTCTCGATGGAGATTACCGTCGAAAGATCTCCTTTTGTCCTTTTGTCTTTTCCTATGAATATTCATCATTTCACTGGTGTCACCCAGCCTCTCATTTCCCTCCCCCTCTGCCATTCATCTTTGGCCTTTTTTGCTGTTGTTGACTTTTCGCTCATCCCCTCTTTTTTATTTACCATTTTTCCTTCTTTCAGATCTCAGCAACTTGAACTCGCCTTTCCCTCGACGATTGATGAGCTGAAGACGCTCAGCTCGCTGCTGATCGGCTACTCGCACCAGCAGCCCGCCTACGTCCTGGTGCTCTTCGCCTCGGCCTACCTCTTCAAGCAGACCTTTGCCATTCCAGGGTCGGTCTTTCTGGTAAGCGGAAGTACCGAGTTTTTCAAAACTTTAAATCCTCATAAAACCGCTTTCTTTTAATCTTTTTCCTTTAGAACCTTCTCGGCGGCGCCCTCTACGGCCTGGTGCCCGGCTTCCTGCTCTGCAGCCTGCTGACGGCCACCGGCGCCACCTGCTGCTACCTCCTCTCGGCGATGGTCGGCACTGAGTTTGTGGAGCGGTTCGCCGGAAGGCAGCTGGTTGCCCTAAAAAAGAGGATACCCGGGTTAGAAGCAAAAGAAGAGGGGCGTCATTCCCAGCTGCTGTCCATCCTCATCTCGCTGCGCCTCTTTCCCATGTCGCCCAACTGGGCGCTGAACATTGCCAGTCCGCTCATTGGCGTCCCCCTCGGCCACTTTTACCTCTCGGTTTTGCTTGGTAAGAGTTTTATTTTACTTGTTATAAAAAAGATTTTTTATCTGATTTTACTTTTTATTTTTTTATTTTGTTTTTAGGTCTGATGCCGTACAACTTCATCTGCGTGCAGACCGGCTCACTGCTCTCCGAGCTGCAGTCACTGGATGATCTCTTCAATCTGCGCACCTTTGCCTCGCTGCTCGCCATTGCCGCCGTCTTTGCCGCGCCCACCGCCTACAAGCACTTCTGGGTGGCTTCACCGGGTGGTGGAGCTGCGATGAAGATGACAAAAAAGAGGAACTGAAGGCTTTGTTTTCGTTTAAAGACTTTAAAGCAAAACTCTGTCGAACTTGTTTTAAATTTTACATGTTTCTAATAGTTTCCATGTAATTTTTCATTTTTTACATTAAATTTATACAAATTTCGGATATTGCACCCAAAATTTTGGTTTTGGTCTAAAGAAATCCTAAAGAGTTAAATTTAAGCTCTATTAAAGTCTTTTATTTTACTTTAAAACTCAATTTGGCCATGTTCCACTGATCCTAAAGCAAAAACTTTTTCATTTTTGGAATCCTTTCGTCGAGTACTTTAAAAATCAGCAATATTTTTTTTCTTCAATTCTGAAAAATCTACAAGGCTATAGCCTTCAAGATTTCGAAAATCTGACCAAAAACTTTTTATTGCAGTTTCTGACAGTACTCGACGAGAAGACTCCAAATCCAAAAGAGTTTTTGATCCAGGACCACGGAAACATGATCAATTTTAATTTTAAAATTAATTAAAAAATAATTCATAGTTCCGGTGTTGGCCGCTACGAAATGTGAGGCGCCACCAGCGGAGTCTGAAAATTGTGAAAAATCACCAAAAATCGCCAAAATCGTTTGCGCTGGTGGCGCCTCACATTTTTGCNGAGGCGCCACCAGCGCAGTCTGAAAATCGTGAAAAATCGCCAAAAATTGCCAAAATCGTTTACGCTGGTGGCGCCTCACATTTTTCAGCGGTCAACACCGGAACTAGCAATTATTTTTCAATTAACTTTAAAATTAAAATTAATCATGTTCTCGTTGTTTCAGAGCAAAAATTCTTTCAGATTTGGAACCCTCTCATCGAGTACTTTAAGAATCTGCAATAAAAATTTTTGGGCGAATTTTTGGGGGAAAATCTTGAAGGCTATATAGCCTTACAGGTTTTGCCGATTTGACCAAAAATCTGACCACTTCGTTTTATTGCAGATTCTGACAGTACTCAATGAGAGGATTCTAAATCTAAAAGAATTTTGCCTTAAAACCTCGGGAACACGGTCAAAATGAATTTTAAAATTAATTCAAAAATAATTTATAGTTCCAGTGTTGGTCGTTGCGAAAATGTGAGGCGCCACCAGCGCAAACGATTTTTGCAATTTTTGGCGATTTTTCACGATTTTCAGACTGCGCTGGTGGCGCCT